CGCACAGCCCCGCCCCCCTCTTTGTAATGAATTATTTGTCATAATTAACACTTTAACATCTCACCTCTAATATGTACATAATATTATACTAGTGTGTGTGTGGGAATATATATATATATATATATATATATATATATATATATATATATATATATATATATATATATATATATATATATAAAAATGTGTTTCTCACCTTCCACGGTGGTTGGTCTCTCACCCTCATTCAGCTCGGGTCGTCTACCAGAGGCCTGGGAGCTTGACAGTTCTGCGCAGTATCTTTGCTGTTTCCAGTGCTGCACTTTTCTGGACTGAGATGTTCCATTGTTTTTCCCGGTATCTGTTGAAGCCTCTTCCAGTTTGGGGGTTACAGCCCCGAGTGTCCGATCACCACAGGCTCCACTGATGCCTTTACTTTCCAGACTCTCTCCAGCTCTTCCTTGAGCCCCTGGTATTTCTCTAGCTTCTCGTGTTCCTTTTTCCTGATATTACCATCGCTTGGTATTGCGATGTCAACCACCACAGCTCTGCTCTGTTTCTTCTCCACCTCCACTATGTCTGGTTGGTTCGCCATCACCATTCTGTCAGTCTGTATCTGGAAGTCCCACAGGATCTTGGCTCGGTCGTTTCTCCACAACTTTTGGAGGTGTTTCCCACCTTGATCCTGGGGTTTCCAGCCCGTACTCTGCACAGATGTTTCTGTACACTATGCCTGCCACGTGGTTATGTCGCTCCATGTTTGTTTCCCTGCAGCATCTGACACCTGCAGTTCTGTGCTGGACTGTCTCAGGAGCCTCTTTGCACAGTCGACACCGTGGGTCTTGTCTGGTGTGGTAGATCTGGGCCTCTATTGCTCGAGTGCCCAGGTCCTGCTCCTGAGCTCCAGGATCAGTGCCTCTGTGTGTCCTTCAGACCCTCTCAAGCCATTGGTAGGATTTCTTGATATCAGCCACTTCAGTTATGTTCCGGTGGTACGCCCCATGTAGGGGTTTGTCCTGTCATGATGGTCCCTCCAGCTCCTCTTCCTCTGGACCCCACTGTCTGAGACATTCTCTGAGCACCTCATCTGCCGGGGCCTTGTCCTTGATGTTCTCAAGGAGCTTGGATGTTTCATCCTGGACAGTGGTTCCCACACTCACTAGTCCTCGGCCCCCTTCCTTCCGGCCTGCGTACAGTCTCAGGGTGCTGGATTTGGGATGGAACCCCCATATCAGGTCAGGAGCTTTCGTGTCTTAACATCTGTGGTCTGTATCTCCTCCTTTGGCCAGCTTACAATCCCTGCAGGGTATCTGATCACTGGCAGGGCGTAGCTGTTGATTGCCTGCACCTTGTTCTTGCCATTGAGCTGGCTTCTAAGGACTTGCCTCACTCTTTGCAGGTATTTGGCCGTAGCCGCTTTCCTTGTTGCCTCTTCGAGGAGCCATTTGCTTGTGGGATACCAAGGTACTTGTAACTGTCCTCAACGTCTGCTATTGTTCCCTCTGGGAGTGACACCCCCTCTGTGTGTTCTACCTTCCCTCTCTTTGTCACCATCCTGCTACATTTCTCAAGCCCGAATGACATCCCAATGTCTGTACTGTAGATCCTTGTGGTGTGTGGATCAGTGAGTCGATGTCTCGCTCACTCTTAGCGTACAGCTTGATGTCATCCATGGTAGAGGAGGTGACTGATGGTGGCCCCGTTTCTGAGTCGGTATCCATAGCCAGTGCAGTCGATTATTTGGCTGAGAGGGTTCAGGCCTATGCAGAACAGTAGTGGGGACAGTGAGTCTCCTTGGTATATGCCACATATGTGCAAGTGGCTTCCCCTTGGCTTCAAGGGTGGTTTTCCACAACCGCATCGAGTTCGCAATGAACGCCCTTAGAGTCCTGTTGATATTGTACAGCTTCAAGCACTCAGTGATCCATGTGTGTGGCATTGAGTCATAGGCTTTCTTGTAATCAATCCAGGCAGTGCACAGGTTGGTCTTACGGGTTCTGCAGTCGCGGGCGACTGTTCGGTCACCAGGAGTTGGTGTTTGGCTCCCCTGGTGTTTTTGCCGATACCCTTCTGTGCTGCACTCATGTATTGATTCATGTGCCCACTTATCTTAGCCGCAATGATGCCTGACATGAGCTTCCATGTTGTGGAGAGACAGGTTATTGGCCGATAGTTGGATGGGACTGCACCCTTTGAAGGATCCTTTAGGATCAGGATCGTACGCCCTTGGGTTAACCATTCAGGGTGAGTCCCATCCCTTAGCAGCTGGTTCATTTGTGCTGCCAGGCGCTCGTGGAGGCAGTGAGCTTCTTTAGCCAGTACACATGGATCATGTCACTGTACTATATATATATATATATATATATATATATATATATATATATATATATATATATATATATATATATATATATATATATATATATATGAACCGTTTCAGGTTCATATATATATATTATATATATATATATATATATATGAACCGTTTCAGTTCATGCAGCTAAAACCTGGAACAGTCTGAACATGTGAGACAGACTCTTCTGTGACACTGTTTAAATCCAGACTCTAAACATTTCTGTTTAACTGTGCAAATAACTGAAAGGTTTTCATTCCGCACTCTTCTCTCCAATTTATGTCTCTCTTTTTTAATTTTAATCTTCATGATTATTTATGTTTTGATTTGTTTTTATTATGATTTTAATGTATTTCTTATTCTGTAAAACACTTTGAATTACTTTGTGTACGAATTGTGCTATACAAATAAACTTGCCTTGCCTACATATATATATATATATATATATATGTATAATTGTTGTGTGTTGTTGCAGGTGAACGGGACTCTGGTCACACACTCCAACCACATCGAGGTCGTCAAACTCATCAAGTGTAAGTCTACACAACATCTACACAACAACACACAAACACACACAAACACACACACACTAGTGATGTGCGGATGGGCTATTTTTTCATCTGCAACTGCGACACAAAACTCATCATCTGCCGCTGTCCATTTGCACTGAAGGTTTTCAAAACCGCACCCGCCCGCCATCCGCCCATTGATTTGAGATTTTAGATCAATCATACAGCAAACAAACTAAGGAGCCTCGATAAAAATGCAAACTACAGCTCATTCATTCCAACATTGGCTCAGCGTGTTTGTTCACATTCTTAATTGTCCGTAACAAACCCAGACTTACCTGGTTTTCTTGCGCAGCTAATTAACTGACGACGTTTTCCGACTCGGCTGTTTTTGAACCTTCTTGCCTTCGTGTTGGATGTTGTTACATTCTGAACATTCTGCCATCGCCCGATGTTGTTTCAAAGTCATAGCCTCACTCCATCGGTCTTTCTTTAAGTTTTAAATCCCCCGAGTGGCAGTCGACGCTATAATGTCTGCGTGTTTTAAAATATATCTGATATTGAAACAAAAAAAAAGCATAACTAAATAAATCTGGCCCTATAGCCACTTACGTGTTGGCAAACAGCTGAAATAAATTAGAAATAATAAAATAACCTGCATATAATATGTGCCTCTAAACCTCAGGCATCAATAACCCGACACAACCTGAACCTTCAGAACATAAAAACAGGTCAAATGGACTAATTAAGGACATGACGAACACTTCATACAAACACAGACAATGACACTCGTCTTTTCACATGTACATAACAACACTAACAGAAACTTTTTTTTTTTTTTTTTTTTTTTAGTAGTTAAACCGCCACCCGCCCGAATTTAATTAAAATATAATTTTTCGTCACGTCATCCGCCCGACCCGCAGATTAACCGCAGATACCGTGGTTGTAACCGCAATCCGTGCATCTCTAAAACACACACAAACACACACACACACACACACACACACACACACACACATACATACACACACACACACACACNCCGAATTTAATTAAAAATATAATTTTTTCGTCACGTCATCCGCCGACCCGCAGATTAACCGCAGATACCGTGGTTGTAACCGCAATCCGTGCATCTCTAAAACACACACAAACACACACACACATACACACACACAAACACAAACACACACACACACACACACATACATACACACACACACACACACACACATACATACACACACAAACACCGTGTCAGTCGTTTGTGTTTCGTTCGTGTTTCGTTTGTGTTTCGTTCGTGTTGTGTGACTTTTTCATCTGTGTGAGTTTATTTCTAAAATGATTCATGATTATTTTTGTGTAAATGATATTTTGGTCGTTTCCGTTCAGTTGACGACAGCGACTTGAACAAAACTTCACAAAACTGATGAAGAGAAACGACCTGAGGCTGTGGAAAAGTCTGAATCTGTCTGAAGGAACTGGATTTGATTCAGATTTTTTGGATGAACACAAACACAGATCAGATTGTGTTAAAATAAAACTCAGATTAAATCCTCAGACAGAGCAGAGCCTCCAGTTAGAATCACACAACATCACCTCACACATGTTGAATCAGGTCTGAATCTGTGTGTCGTTCATTCGTTTTTCAAAATAAAACCAAAAATAAGAAAAGGAAACAACAACAGTTTTCTTCATTATTTGTCTCCAAAACCAAAATGGAAAAAAAAAACAGATAAAGATTTGATTTTTTCAGTTTTTGATTTTGTGTTTAAATGAAAAATGGAAAAAAAGGAGAACAGCTGTTTCCTGTTTACGTGACTTCAGTGACTGAGATGTTGGACTGAACCAGGACTGATCCAGGTCCAGGACCAGACCGGGACCAGACCAGGACCAGACCGAGACTGAGACCGGGACCAGACCGAGACTGAGACCGGAACCAGGCCGGGACTGAGACCGGGACCAGACCAAGACTGAGACCGGGACCAGACTGGGACCAGACTGGGAAGCTGAAGGCTCGGGGTCAAAGCTCGGAGTCCGGTCTGGTCCTGGTCTGGTCCTGGTCTGGTCCGGTCGGTCTGGTCCCGGTCTGGGTCCTGGTCCCTGGTCTGGTCCGGTCTGGTACGGTCTGGTCCGGTCTGGTCCGGTCTGGTCCTGGTCTGGTGTCTGGTCTGGTCTGGTCTGGTCCGGTCTGGTCGGTCTGGTCCTGGTCCTGGTCTGGTTCCGGTCTGGTCCTGGACCTGGATCAGTCCTGGTTCAGTCACTGAAGTCACGTAAACAGGAAACGGTCGTTATCCATTTTTTTTTCCATTTTTCATTTTAACACAAAATCGAAAACTGAAAAAATCAAATCATTAACTGTTTTTTTTTTCATTTTGGTTTTGGAGACAAATAATGAAGAAAACTTGTTTTTTCATTTTATTTTTGGTTTTATTTTGAAAAACAAATGAACAAACGACGTTCTCTGTCTGTTCCTCTGTCCAGCCGGTTCTTATGTGGCCCTGACGGTTCTGGGACGGCCCCCGGGTCTTTCCCAGGTCCCCCTGGAGGACGACCTGTCGCCCCTGTCGCCCCTGTCGCCCCTGTCGCCCCTGTCGCCCCTGTCGCCCGTCACCGCCCCGCACTCCCCCGTCCTGTCAGGAGGGGGCAGCACCAGCCCGGCTCTGTCCCTCAGCCCCCTGACCTCCTGCCCCCCGGACGAGCCGCAGGTCTGTGACCTTTAAAACTCCGGACGCTCTGCTCCACCTCGTGATGTCATCGAGTGGTCGTTTCAAAGTGCTCAGCTCCTTTTCTCTTTAGTTCAGTCGAGATTAAAACTCCACGACTGAAACGATCCAGGTGATTCAGGTGAAGGTGAAGTGTGGAGTTTAAAAACACAGTGGAGCACTTCCTGTATCACCACATGATGACATCACCAGGTGGAACACAGTGTTTTTTGTTTTTCTAAAGGTTGGTTCAGAGCGTCAGAGTGTGAATGTATGTGTGAAGTGTCCGAGGACGTGTGTCTGGGGCGTCGACCAATCAGAGACGAGAGTCCAGAGACGTAGAGACTTTAAACAGGTCACCAGCTAAACCAGGACTTAAACAGGACTAAACCAGGTTCTAACCAGGACTAAACCAGGGATTAAACCAGGACTAAACCAGGACTAAACCAGGACTAAACCAGGTCTAAACCAGGATAAAAACCAGGACTAAACCAGGACTAAACCAGGACTAAACCAGGTCTAAACCAGGACTAAACCAGGACTAAACCAGGACTAAACCAGACTAAACCAGGACTAAACCAGGTCTAAAACAGGACTAAACCAGGACTAAACCAGGTAAACCAGGACTAAACCAGGTCTAAACCAGGACTAAACCAGGTCTAAACCAGGACAGGACTAAACCAGGTCTAAACCAGGGGACTAAACCAGGACTAAACAGGTCTAAACCAGGACTAAACCAGGACTAAACCAGGACTAAACCAGGCAGGATAAACCAGGACCAGGTTAAACCAGGACTAAACCAGGACTAAACCAGGAAGGTCTAAACCAGGTCTAAACCAGGACTAAACCAGGACTAAACCAGGTCTAACCAGGTCTAAACCAGGACTAAACCAGGACTAAACCAGGACTCTAAACCAGGACTAAACCAGGACTAAAACCAGGTAAACCAGGTCTACCAGGACTAAACCAGGACTAAACCAGGTCAAACCAGGACTATAAAGGACTAAACCAGGTCTAAACCAGGACTAAACCAGGACTAAACCAGGTCTAAACCAGGACTAACCAGGACTAAACCAGGATGAAACCAGGTCTAAAACCAGGTCTAACCAGGTCTAAACCAGGACTAAACCAGGTCTAAACCCAGGTCTAAACCAGGTCTAAACCAGGTAACCAGGACTAAACCAGGACTAAACTAAACCAGGACTACCCAGGTCTAACCAGGACTAAACAGGTTAAACCAGGTCTAAACCAGGAAACCAGGTCACACCAGGACTAAACCAGGACTAAACCAGGACCAGGTCTAAACCAGGACTAAACCAGGTCTAAACCAGGTCTAAACCAGGACTAAACAGGTCTAAACAGGACTAAACAGGACTAGACCAGGACTAAACAAGGACTAAACCAGGATTAGACCGGACTAACTAAGACTAAACAGGAACTAAACCAGGACTGATCCAGTGTCATTAGTGGGTATAATATAAACTGGCTCCATCGTCGAGTCGATTTCTCCTTGATTTTATGTGATAAAAACACTAAAGTCTCAGTCTGGCTGACATTGTTTGGGGAAAAGTCCAGGACCGGGCTCTTGTTTCCAGGCAACGGCACGTCAAGTATTTTCTCTCGTTCGTCCACGACGTCACAGACACGAGCGTCGGGGCGTCTGAACTCAAATGTAAAGGCTCCAAACAGAAACGTGTACGATGTTTGTGACGCTTTGGTCTGAAGGAGACACAGGAAACTGCACTTTCTCCATGGAGATGATACTGATTATCTGGAATGTTCCACAGTGTAGATTAGTCCTGGTTCAGTTCTGGTCAGTCTGGTGGTCGGTTACGTCTGGTTAGTCTAGGTCTGGTTTGTTTGGTTTTAGTCCTGGTTCAGTTTTTTACTTCTGGTTTACAGTCCTGGCTTTAGTCCTGGTTTAGTCCTGTTTAGCCTGTTTTCTAGGATTTTTGCTTGTAGCTACCCTCCTTAATTGAGATTTTAAGTCGAGCTGTTTAAAGTCACACTGTGGAACATTCCGGACACAGCAGTGATGTGATGCAGGTGACCCCCAGTGGAAATGTTCCACAGTGCAGCTTTAACTGATGTAAAACTATGATCCATTTCCTGCAGTTCCAGAGCGACAACAGAAGCGTCCAATCAGATCCACCGGTGAGGACGGACCAACACCCGGACACACAGGTGAGTCATGTGACCGACACCCGGACACACAGGTGAGTCATGTGACCGACACCCGGACACACAGGTGAGTCACGTGACCGACACCCGGACACACAGGTGAGTCACGTGACCGACACCCGGACACCACAGGTGAGTCCACCTGACCAACAGCGCGGGACACACAGTGAGTCACGTGACCGACACCCGGACACATCAGTGAGTCACGTGACCGCACCCGGGACACACAGGTGAGTACGTGACGCGGAGTCAACCCGGACACACAGGTGTGAGTCACGTGACCAACACCCGGACACACAGGTGAGTCACGTGACCAACACCCGGACACACAGGTGAGTCACGTGACCAACACCACAAAATATGTTGATTTAAACAAAAAAAAGTTACCGTGATTTTCCACCTTGACGAGCTTTGACCTGTTCACACACAGAAGAGAATCAGTTACATCAGATTTAGAATTTAAAAAATCGCTGAATTTTTTACCTCTGAAAAAAACAGTTTAAATGATTTTGATTCTGATTCTCAGTTAATGCAGTTTCAAGGTGTTTAAAATTGCAAATTTAAAATAAAAACCTTTTAAAAATTTTGCACAAATATTTTCAAGCCTCAAATTCAACAGCTGAAATTCAGAGTGTAAAATTGTTCCACAGTGCAGCATTAAACCTTTTATCTCCATGGAGACCGAACCAGACCAAGTCACAGGTCAGATCTGTGGAGCGGCGACGCCGCTCACACTCACAATGTCTGATTTTATAGGGATTTTAGAGGTTTAGTCCCGGTTTAGGACTAGATCAAACCAGGTCTAAACCAGGCTAACCCAGGTCTAAAACCAGGTCTAAACCAGGTCTAAACCAGTCTAAACAGGACTGACAGGACTAAACCAGGTCTAAACCAGGTTCAAATCAGGAATAAACCAGGTCTAAACCAGGTCTAACCAGGACTAAAACCAGGGAACGTAAAACCAGGACTAACCCAGGGACTAAAAACCAGGACTAATCCAAGGACTAAAACCAGCGACTAACCAGGACTAAACCAGGACTAAACCAGGACAAAACCGGACCTAAACCAGGACTTGACTGAAAATCCCTAAAAAACAAACCATTGGAGTGGCGCGTCGCCTCTCCACAGATCTGACCTGTGACTTGGTCTGGTTTGGTCTCCGTGGAGATAAAAAGGTTTAATGTCGCACTGTGGAACATTCCAGACAAAACAGCAACATCTCCATGGAGAAAAGCGTAAAAAAACAAAAAAAAAAAAAAAAACAGAGCCTCCAGCAGAAAAGTGACACCGTGCACCTTTAAGTGTCTTGCCCAAGGACACGACAGCAGCATTTATCTGAGGGATCAGAACCCAGGACAAACGCGCTCTTAACTCAACCACTGTCCATGTTAGATTCATTTTACGGCTGGATTATACAGATTATTGCTTTAATTTTCGTCCGTGTGAGTCTCACGTCCGTCTCCGTCTCCTAGGCAACAGAGGGCGTGGACGGCGGCGGGCTGAGCGTGGACATGTCTCCGTCCTCGCGCAGAGACGGCGGGTTCCAGAGTCCGGTGAGTAGAAAAACCCAACCACAAAAACCACCGACCAAAGACGAGAAAGAAAAAAGAAAATCGGAAAAACGTTTAAACGAGACGATGCTGCAAAAAAAAACACGAACAAAAACTCACAGAACTTTTTTTTATTTATTTATGTTTATTAAGGACGTCACAATCGCATTAGACCAGCCAGGTGCAGATGTTGTGCAAGTGTTAGTTTTCAACACTGTTCATATAAAAATATAAACTACAGGCATAAAAACAGAGAATAAAAGACACATAAATAACATGCAGATAAAATATTTACAGAACATTTTCAGATTGGAAACATACAATAATTTAAATTAACTTTTAAATTTGTTGTAGTTGGTTTCCAATTTTAAATGAGCTGGTAAACGGTTCCACAGACGAGGACCAAGAACCGTCCTGTACATAAAAACAACACAGTCTCCACGAGTCTCTCCTCTTCTGTTCGCTCTGTGTGAACATTTTATGGTCCTGACAAATTCTGAGTGCAGTGGTGTATCACAGTTAAGAGACATTTAAGATTTATGATAAAAAGTTGATGTTCTTGTAATTTCCCAGTGGTGCCCGTGTTTGGCTTTTGTCAAGGATCTTTCTTCTCTCAGTCTCAGTTTTGTAAAAATGAACAAAGTGGTTTAAGTGTGTTTGAGGGCCTGGACCATGAGGTGGAAACAATAAGTTTGATGAGAGAAAAATCACTGTGTTCATGGAAGAGTTTGAAGTTGGAGCGATAACTTTACGTATGAAACGAAACAACTGAATAGTCTTAATCTTCTTCACCAAGTATTTTTGTTGACCAGAAAATTTAAAATTTTCATCTAGAATGAGGCTGAAGTATTGAACTTCACTGCTTGAATTTTCTCATTGTGCAAAGTCACTTCAAAGTCACAGTTTTTTGTTTGTGTTTGCACTGAAAAACAAAGAGAAACAGTTTTTTTCACATTCAAAGTCGGGTGTGACACACTAAGACATTTTGAGACAAGTTGTGAGGACCAGGTGTGACTTTCAGGTTGCCCAGGTGTGACTAGGGTGTGTGTGACTCAGGTGTGACTCAGGTGTGACTCAGGTGTGAGTGTGACTCAGGTGTGACTCAGGTGTGACTCAGGTGTTGACTAAGTGTGTGAGGTGTGCATGTTGACTGTGGAATTCAGGTGTGACTAGGTGTGACTCAGCACAGCCTGAGCAGGTGTTTTTGAACAGACGTACAACACAGTGTCATCAGCAACTCGAACATTAACAGGAGAACAGCATGGAGGGAGAAAATTAATATATATGGAAAAAAGCAAGGGGCCAAGTACAGACCCCTGTGGCACCCCAAAGGGACTGGCTCGTTGTTGTTAAGTGACTCCATTTACCCGAACACACTGAGTTCTCCCTTTAATATATGATGAGAACCATTTAAAGGTTGTATAGAGGATTTTTTTAAGGGAAGAGAACTTCAGCGACATTCTTTTCAAATTCCCCTCCACAGTCCTCAGTAGAAACATCTCCTCCCGCCTCCTTACCCAGAAATCACACGTTTACAGCCAGTGGGCCTTCGAATTACAGCAAGTGACCGGTCTAGAAACAATTTAGCGACCGTTTCTACTTGAGTCGCGCCATCGCTGGAAGGGATCTCCAAGAATCACCTCAGTTTGTCTTCGCTCCTTTTCCTCTTCTCTTCTTCTTTCAGCGACCTCGAAAACGGACTTTCTTTTCGCGGCGAACTGGTCCTGGATTCTCGTCCGCCGTCGCAACAAACTTTGTGCGAATTTGTGCGAAGCTACAGTTTAAAAAATCCAAGAACACGCCGCATAAAACGTAATCCCAGCGAGTCATTTACTCTAGAAACGTAGGGAGTTTGATTGACGACCTAACACCAATAGAAAATGAGGCCCTTGTTTTCTATGCTGATGTTTATCTGGCCTCACCACGTCCACATTTGATAGATTTTCATTCTTTTTTTTATTGTAACTTTTTATTGTAATGTTATTTTAACCAATCACTGACAATCTGAAACAAAACAAAAACCCTCCATACAAACTTTAACAGTTTCCTTTGCAAAACTGAACTGATGTGACTTAACCAATAAAATACTATGATTGACCGTTTCAAAGGCTTTTTTTAGGTCAAGAAACACTGCCCCAACTACATTCCCCTGGTCCAAAGACTTTTTAATGTTATCGATTAGATGACAGTTTGCAAGTTCAGTAGAGAATTTAGGCCTAAAACCAAATTGTTTTGAGTACAGAAGTAATTTACTTTCAAGATGCACAATTAGTTGATCAGAAACAACTTTTTCTATAATTTTGGAAAGCACAGGGAGGAGAGTTATTGGTCTGTAGTTACAAGCCTCATCCTTGTCACCACTTTGAAAAACAATAACTGCAGTTTTCCAGTTCGCTGGGAAGATGTTTGTAGTTATGGAGAGATTTACAATATGTGTTATGGGTTCCAGTAAGTAATTATGATATTTTTTAATACATTTATTATTTAAGTTGAGAATGTCTTTGGAAGAGGTACTTTTCATGTTGGTGAGTATTTCACTTACTTTGTGTTGAGATACTTGTTGAATTTTGAACATGTCATTTGTATGAGGAACAGTTTGGTCGTCAACTAATGTGTTTGATCAAAGTTCTCGTCTGAAGTTTCCACAGATTCAATCAAATAATTATTCAGTGAATTTGCAATCTGCTCATCACTGTAGATTATGTTATCACCATCTTTCAGACATTTTATTTTGGTATTTTGGTATTTTCCCAGTAAAACGATCACTTTTTGCTTCTGTATTTCATGTGCTCCTTTGTTCCTGAGGCTGATGTACAGTTGATGATCAGTGTTGGTTTTGTTGAGCAGTGAGCGTTTCAGTGTTAAGTCTCGCTTTTTCATCATCTGGAGGACATTGGTGTTGATCCAAGGAAGACCACATTTTCTGGGTCTTGGTTTCCAAGTCCTGGTGTGGGAATTGATCAGTTCACCTAGAGTTGATGTGAAAGAGTTTACACTTGGGTCTAAGTCAGATTCTTTAGTAACCGCTCCCCATTTGAGATTTTTAAGTTCTGATTCAAAATGATCCAGTTTTGATTTTGGAATTGCTTTGGATATTTTTGATTGGCTCGTTTTGTAATGGTGGATAAAGTGTTTTTTGGACAGTTTCCTAACTGCAAAGATCAGATTGTGATCAGAAAGGCCAGAGATTAAATTGTATGGTATCTGCTGCTCTCTAAACTCTAGTGTGAAACGCTGGAGTCCCTCGACACACAGACAAACTCACATTTAAAGAGTTCACACGTCCCTCTGTCCCTGTGTCCCAATGTCCCAACAGATTTATATAAAACCACTGATTTGTCCCAGTTTGATACAAGAAATGTCTCAGGTGTGTCTATTTTTGACCCATTTGATCCTGTAACAATAAAGAAAGACATAAACTGACATTTATTTCAGTGAAATACAGAAAAGCTGCTTAAAAATGACAAAACACAAAGAAAATGTGACGATACTGACTCTGTTAGAAGGTTTTTCCTTAATTTCATCTCGTTTCACACTATTTCCACAAACGGGATGTTGCAGTTTTAAGATTTTGAAAATCTGTTCACCGTCTGTTAGGTCCAGATCAGCGGAGACACGTCCTGTCCCCCCCCAGAGGACCTCCACCCTGAGGACCCCACGCTGGGGACAGAGGACACAGTCGAGGCCCTGGGACAGGTACAGCCCACAGACTCTACGTACAAAAGGACAAATCCAATTTATCCACTGGACAAAAGTTTATTTGGTCAAAAACGTTTCTCAGCTCGTCCAAACTGCTGCTTCAGTTCTGTTGGACGCTGTGGACAGTGTCTTATATCTGCCTGAAGGGGGCGCTCACTGCACTCAAACTGCTAGAGCAGGAAGGAAACGGATTCGACCAAAATAAACTTTTGTCCAGTCGACAAATTGAATTTCTACCTGGACGACTGAGGATTTTACTCACATAAATGGACTTAGTCCAAACAGGAAGTGAGTCTGGGCTCCGTCGGCTCCGTCGGCTCCGTCGGCTCCGTCGGCTCCGTCGGCTCCGTCGGCTCCGTCGGCTCCGTCGGCTCCGTCGGCTCCGTCGGCTCCGTCGGCTCCAGGTCTGATTCTGTTGAAAAGCTGTGGTCCGTCTTTCTGTCCCTGCTGCTCTCAGGATCCTCATCTTTTATTTCTCTCTAATAACAATAATAAATCATCGAGTGTCGGGAGCGTCACAACTACAGTCGTGTTTGTGATTTTACAGTGACGTGAAAATGTCAAAAAACTGAATGTCTCAAAAACTGCTCAGTGTGTGAGCCGGACAGCCACAAGAGCAGCACAACCATGCTGTTGCCGTGGAGAAACTGAGAGGAGACGAGAGGTTTGTCTTCACGAGTGTTCAGAGCTAAACAGAAAGACAGGGGACAGAAGACTGAGGACAGAAGACAGACAGAGGACGGAAGACGGAGGACATTATTTACATGCACTGCCTCGTACGCTCCGGGGGGGCGGTGGTACAGTATTTTTTGAAGTTCATTTCTGTCGTTTGTTTGAGGGTCTGAGGGGAAATGTGGGTCAAATAATTGGGTCAAATAGAGTGACAGGTGCGTGGGGATGGTTCTGTTGTTGAGGGCGACCGACACGAGCTTTGACGACACACACACACACACACACACACGTCCATGTGCTGAAACACACTCTGGACGACCTGAGTTTTTGTTTATTGATGCAGTTTGTGTGAGTCAAGAAGCGAACGGCCTGAGGATGAATATTTCCACGTCTGCAGCAGAAGCTTTAACGCTCACTGTCCATGTTTTTGTCGGTTTCTCGTGTGTCCAGGCGTCTCCCTCGACCCCGTCCACCCTCCACCCTCACATCATCGGGGCGGAGGACGACGACTTCGAGCCCGGGCAGGTGGGTCTCGCTCACACGCCGTTCTCTGGTGGTTTTCAGTCAAAGTTTGAGTCCGTTTTGAGTCTGAAGTGTGTTGGATCTGACCCCGGGTTCCTCCTGCAGATGAACGGACAGTGCAGCAGCTTCCAGAGCCTGGACCAGCTGAAGACTCGACCCGCTCACCTGGCCGTGTTCCTCCATCACGTCGTCTCGCAGTTCGACCCGGCTCCTCTGGTGAACTCTCCGAACGCACACACGAAAACGAAAACTAAAACACGAGACGAACGCGGCTAAAAATCTGAGAAGCCCAAAGCAAAAACAACGTAAAACCTCCAGTGATTAAGAGTAAAAACTGGTCCAAAAAGTCTGTTTGGAATTATAAATAAAAGTCCTTACAAGTGCCGATGTTTTACACTTTCTTTCCCAGTTTGGCCACTTTTTAGGCTTAAAATTTAACTTCCTGGCATGAAATTCAGACTGAAAACAATTCAGACATGTTTTTTTTTAAGAGTTAAAAAGCAGCGTTTAAAATAAAAAATCTGCTGAACCTTAAGGAGTTTCCTGTGTTGTGGTTCCAGTTGTGTTTCCTGTACGCCGACCTGCACAGACTCACCAGCGCCAAGAGAGCCGACGATTCTTCATGGACTTTTACTCCCTCTTCCTGGACCGAGCCGCTGTGAGTCACGTCATCTCTGTCTCCACACGAGAAGAAGAAGAATAACAACAAAACTCCACAAAACTAGTGAAGAGAAATGACCTGAGTCCGGATCAGTCTTCAGAAGTTGCTTTTGATTCATATTTTATATAATAATAGGGTGACCATATTTCTGTTTGTGAAAACCCGGACACCTTTGGGGGGGGTCTCGGATTTTTTTGTGTGCAATTTTTTACAGCGTATGAGCGTGTATTGTGTATTACAGGTGGTAGTAAATACACACTGGTGAGTCAGGACTAAACCAGGTCTAAACCAGGTCTAAACCAGGTCTAAACCAGGACTAATCTTGGACTTGAGAGCGAAAACGCCGAGCAGTTTGTCCGCAAAGCTCGATCGGGCGATTGCCGCGTTTAACTCTGTGAGGTGCAGAGCTGAGCCGCTCCTTTCTCCTGTGGTCACCTCCGAGCCCGACCTGACGGGGAGTCTTGTTTCAGTCCTGGTTTAGTCCTGGTTTAGTCCTACTTCAGTCGTGGTTTAGTCCTCCTCTTCAGTCCTGGAATCAGTCCTGGGTTAGTCCTGGTTTAGTCTTGGTTTAGTCTTGGTTCAGTCCGTGTCGTAGGCAGCGCAAAAGTTTGATATATCTCTGGTCCTAATCCGGGCAGGTGCGGTCCTGTCCTGGCAGGTGTGGTCCTGTGGCCTGGCAGGGTGGTCCTGTCCTGGCAGGTGCGGTGTTGTACTGTGAGTCTCCAAAACTGGACCTGTGCAGGACTCTGTGCTGTCGGCTCCATTACAGAATAAATGAATCTTCAGTTTGTTCCATAAAGAAGGAGGAAAATAACAAAAGGACGACAACAGCAACAAGTTTTAAGAAGGAAGTAAAAAGTGTTGCACCTGTCGATCCTGTCGGAGAAAAGTGTATAAAGTTTGTGCTGAGGTTTTACAGACTTAAAACAGACAGAATAATTGTAAAATATAAAGTTGATACTTGGTGGATTTCACCTGTCGCAGGTTATTTTTAGAACATAACTCCCACGATAAACGAGGGACACTGTCCCTCACCTCAGCCTGTGCACATGGACTCACACTTGTCCCGACCGGGACGGAAAATCGGAGAATTTCTTGTCCAAGTCATTGTTAAATGTTCATTTGTGCTTCAGTCGTGTTTCAGACCGACTGTTTGTGTCTCGCTCCTTCTGAGTCACAGACGAGAGACGCTCAGTTTAATGAACGGTAAAGAAAACCCGGACATTTACATCACTTTATAAAAAAAACCCCGGACATGACGCAAAATACAGACATGTCCAGGGAAAAACGGACGTTTGGTCGCCCTAATAATACAGTTTTCCAAAGCCTCAGGTCGTTTCTCTTCACCAGTTTTCCCTCGTTTGGAGAGTTCTCTGTACACTATTATTCAGACAATAAGATGCACTTAAATCCTTACATTTTCTCAAACATCGACAGTGCTCATTATAATCCAGTGCCTTATGTATTAATTCTGGTTGTGTTACTGACTTTGAACCAATTTTCTGTGGGACACGGCCTCAAAAATCTGTCAAAATGTTTTAGTTTGACTTTCGTAAAACTATGAAGTGGAGTAAAACACAATCACCGAAACAGGAGGCGACGGCGAGAGAGTGAAAGCACAGAAACCAGACACATGAGGAGTGTGTGTGTGCAGTGTGTGTGTTCTGTGTGTGTTGTTGTGTGTGTTCTGTGTGTGTGTGTGTGCTGTGTGTGTTCTGTGTGTGTGTGTGTGTGTGTGTGTGTGTGTGCAGTGTGTGTTTGTGTGTGCAGTGTGTGTGTGTGTGTTCTGTGTGTGTGTGTGTGTGTGCTGTGTGCGTTGTGTGTGTTTTCTGTGTGTTTTTGGAGTTTTGTTCACGTTTGTTTCGTTTGTGTTTTCGATGCAGAATCTGAAAGTTCCGGTTCCGGAGACTTTGGCGTCTGAACTCGGTGAGTTTGAAACAAAACACACAAAAGTCCAGGTCTGTGTTTGTGACGAGGAAACGACATAAAAACAGAGCAGAAAATGTCCTGATGTTGGACTGAAGAGTCATTTCCCTTTTGGATCAATAAAGTTTGTGGATTAATAAAGTCGAGGTGTGTTTGGTTTTCAGGTTTTTACTGGTAAATGGACGAACTTTGAGTTTCACACAATGAGGACGAACTGAACATAATGTGTGTTCATGTTGTGTGTTCATGTTTGTGTGATGTTTGTGTGTGTTTGTGTGATTGTGTGATGTTGTGTGTGTTGTGTTTTGTGTGATGTGTTGTTTGTGTGATGTTGTTGTGTTTGTGTGATGTTTGTGTGATTTGTGTGATTTGTGTGTTGATGTTTGTGTGATTTTGTGTGTTGATTTGTGTGATATTTGTGTGATATTTGTGTGATGTGTGATGTTTGTGTGAGTTTGTGTGATTTGTGTGTGATGTTTGTGTGTTTGTGTGATGTTTGTGTGATGTTTTGTGTGTGATTTGTGTGTGATGATTTTGTGTGATGTTTGTGTGATTGTGTGTGTTTGTGTGTGTTTTGTGTGATGTTGTGTGTGATGTTTGTGTGTTTGTGTTGATGTTTGATGTTGTGTGTGTTGATGTTTGTGTGATGTTTGTGTGTTTGTGTGATGTGTTGTGTGATATGATATTTGTGTGATGTTTGTGTGATGTTTGTGTGATGTTTGTGTGATGTTTGTGTGATATTTGTGTGATGTTTGTGTGATGTTTGTGTGATGTTTGTGTGATGATATTTGTGTGATGTTTGTGTGATGTTTGTTGTGTGATGTTTGTGTGATATTTGTGTGATGTTTGTGTGATATTTGTGTGATGTTTGTGATGTTTGTGTGATGTTTTGTGTGATGTTTGTGTGATTTGTGATGTTTGTGTGATGTTTGTGTGATGTTTGTGATGTGTGTGATATTTGTGTGTTTGTGTGATGTTTGTGTGATGTTTGTGTGATGTTTGTGTGTGATATTTGTGTGATGTTTGTTTGTGTGATTTGTTGTTGTGATGTGTGTGATGTTTGTGTGATGATTTGTGTGATGTTTGTGTGATGTTTGTGTGATGTTTGTGTGATGTTTGTGTGTTTGTGTGATGTTGTGTGTGTTTGTTTGTGATGTTTTGTGTGATGTGTTTTGTGTGTGTGTGTTTTGTGTGATGATTTGTGTGATGTTTGTGTGATGTTTGTGATGTTTGTGTGATGTGTGTGATGTTTGTGTGATGTTGTGTGTGTGTGTTGTGTGATGTGTTGTGTGATGTTTGTGTGATGTTTGTGTTTGTGATGTGTTTGTGTGATTGTTGTTTGTGTGTTGTGTGATATTTGTGATGTTTTGTGATGTTTTGTTTGTTTGTGATGTTTGTGTGATGTTTGTGTGATTGTGTGTGTGATGTTGTGTGTGTGTGTTGTTGTGTGATGTTTGTGTGATGTGTGTGTGTTGATGTTTGTTGATATTTGTGTTGTGTGATGTTGATGTTTGTGATTTGTGTGATGTTGTGTGATGTTTGTGTGATGTTTGTGTGATGTTTGTGTGATGTTTGTGTGTTTGTGTGATGTTGTGTGATGTGTTTTGTGTGTTGTGTGTGATGTTGTGATGTTTGTGTGTGTGTGATGTGTTGTGTGATGTTTGTGTGATGTTTGTGTGATGATGTTTGTGTGATGTGTTTGTGTGATGTTTTGTGTGTGTTTGTGTGATGTTTGTGTGATGTTTGTGTGATGTTTGTGTGATGTTTGTGTGATTTGTGTGTTTTGTGTGATGTTTGTGTGATGTTTGTGTGTTTGTGTGATGTTTGTGTGATGTTTGTGTGATGTTTGTGTGATGTTGTGTGATGTTTGTGTGTGATGTTTGTGTGATGTTTGTGTGATGTTTGTGTTTGTGTGATGATATTTGTGTGATGTTGTGTGATTTTGTGTGTTTGTGTGATGTTTGTGTGAATGTGATGTTTGTGTGATGTTGTGTGTGTTTTGTGTGATGTTTGTGTGATGTTTGTGTGATGTTTGTGTGATGTTTGTGTGATGTTTGTGTGATGTTTGTGTGATGTTTGTGTGATGTTTGTTGTGATGTTGTGTTTGTTGATGTTTGTTGTGATGTTGTGTGATGTTTGTTGTGATGTTTGTGTGATGTGTGATGTTTGTGTGATGTTTGTGTGATGTTTGTGTGATGTTGTGTTTGTGTGTGTGATGTTTGTGTGATGTTTGTGTGATGTTTTGTGTGTTTGTGTGTGATTTGTGTGATGTTTGTGTGATGTTGTGTTGTGTGTGTGTGTGATTTGTGTGATGTTTGTGTGATGTTTGTGTGATGTTTGTGTGATGTTTGTGTGATATGTTTGTGTGATGTTTGTGTGATGTTTGTGTGATGTTGTGTGTGTTTGTGTGATATTTGTGTGATGTTTGTGTGATGTTTGTGTGATGTTTGTGTGATGTTTTTGTGTGTTTGTGTGTTGATGTTTGTGTGATATTTGTGTGATGTTTGTGTGATGTTTGTGTGATGTTTGTGTGATGTTTGTGTGATGTTTGTGTGATGTTTGTGTGTGATGTTTGTGTGAGTTTGTGTGATGTTTGTGTGATGTGTGTGTTTGTGTGATGTTTTGTGTATGATGATGTTTGTGTGATGTTTGTGTGATGTTTGTGTGATTTGTGTGTGTTTGTGTGATGTTTGTGTGATGTTTGTGTGATGTTTGTGTGATGTTTGTGTGATGTTTGTGTGATGTTTGTGTGATGTTTGTGTGATGTTTGTGTGATGTTTGTGTGATGATGTTTGTGTGATGTTTGTGTGATGTTTGTGTGATGTTTGTGTGATGTTTGTGTGATATGTGTGTGTTGTGTGATGTTTGTGATGTTTGTGTGATGTTTGTGTGTGTTTGTGTGTTTGTGTGTGTTTGTGTGATGATTTGTGTGATGTTTGTGTGATATGTTGATGTGTGATGTTTGTGTGTGTTTGTGTGATGTTTGTGTGATGTTGTTGTTGATGTTGTGTGTGTGTGTGATGTTTGTGTGATTGTGTGATGTTTGTGTGATGTTTGTTGTGTGAATTTGTGTGATGTTGTGTGTGTGTGTTTGTGTGATGTTTGTGTGATGTTTGTGTGTGTGTGATGTTGATGTTTGTGTGATGATTTGTGTGATGTTTGTGTGATGTTTGTGTGATGTTTGTGTGATGTTTGTGTGATGTTTGTGTGATGTTTGTGTGATGTTTGTGTGATGTTTGTGTGATGTTTGTGTGTGTTTGTGTGTGATGTTTGTGTGATGTTGTGTGTTTGTGTGATTTGTGTGATGTTGTGTGATTTGTGTATTTGTGTGATGTGTTGTGTGATGATGTTTGTGTGTTTGATGTTTGTGTGATGTTTGTGTGATGTTTTGTGTGATATTTGTGTGATGTTTGTGTGATGATTTGTGTGATGTTTGTGTGATGTTTTTGTGATGTTTGTGATGTTTGTGTGATGTTTGTGTGATGTTTGTGTGATGTTTGTGTGATGTTTGTGTGATGTTTGTGTGATGTTTGTGTGATGTTTGTGTGTGTTTGTGTGTTTTCTCAGAGAGGAGGCGTGTGGAGCTTCTCCCTGAGGATCTGTGTAAAACCTTCACTCAGAGCGTCCAGGCGTCTCTGCAGCCGGACCTGCTCAGACTCCTCCAGGACTTCAGGTCTCAAACACCATGCCACATTTTTTTGTTGTCATTTTACGCTGCATTATGTCACTTTTCTGGTGGAGGCTCCGTCAAACACTTTTCTCCATGGAGATGTTATCACTTTGTCTGGAATGTTCCACAGTACGGCATTAAACTTTTCTATTTTCGTGACCAAACCAGACGCAGTTCCAGGTCAGATCTGTGGAGAGGCGACGCCGCTCAGTCACAATGTCTGTTTTTCTAGGGATATTTTATCTCTAAAACCTCCTGGAACTGAATAAATGTGAAGTCGAGTTGTTTAAAGTCACAGCAGGTGATTAAAGCCCCAACTGAAAAGTGACACAGTGCACCTTTAATTTTTATTGAAAATTTTGTACAATAAAACTCTGATATAAAATTAAAATATATTTGCATGAAAGATCTCACTGTGGAACAGTGCACAGTTGTACATATACAGCAGAGGTGCTCAATACGTCGATCTCGATCTACAGTCGATCTCCAAGGTCGTGTGGGTAGATCGTCGTGTCTCGTCTCGGACTCGCGTTTGGACTCGGTCTTGTCTCTCACTCGAGGTTTGACACTCAACAAGTGTGATCATATTTCATTCCGGCCGCTGCTGTTGGTAAAATAAACTGTTGTAGTACTCGTAGTAGTAGCTTGTAGCGGGTGAGGAGCGTGTGGGGCGTCTCAGTGCAGCCTGTGCGCTCATTTGAAACCCGCGGAGACTCTACGGCGCATCACAAACACACACGCTCCCTATGCACGGCTCGTCTGCGACAGCGTGTGCCCTCGTGTACCAGCGTGCATCACAGGGCAGGTTCAACTTCCTAAACATCCTACCTGTCCACCTGCCTCACGTCAGCACGCCGCCCCTCGCCTTTTCACGCTCTCGCTCCTTCCTGCGTACAGCCAACACAAGCCCCTCCCACAGTGCGGCTGATTAGAAGAGCAAGACCAAACGTGAAGCAAAAACCAGTCTAAATTTGTGTTCCAGTGTTGGCACAAAGCAGGTCTACAGCATAGAGCGGATCTACAGAACAGACCTACTGCCACATTTGGCTGAAGTTTGTGTAACAAAAGTGACAAATGCATCTGTGTTTGTCACGATGTGTGTTTGGTTTGGTAAACGTGCAGAGGCTGGTAAATATCACTGCAAAACCACAAAAGAATGAAACTCCAGTTTGGAACTTTAAAAAACAGGTTTAAAAATCTTCCTTCACTTTTTTCACAGTTTTGTGTAAAGTGTCAGAGGAAGTTCTCTTAAAGAAGAGGTTCTCAAACTGTGGGGGAGGGTCCAAAAAAGGGGCACAGAGTGTTTCAGTGCAGTTTGTTTGACTTTGTATCAGGTCGATCATTTTGACTTGGTCATTTTGTAAGAAGCTCACATGATGAAAAAGTGTGAACACCTCTGATATACAGATTCTCCCCAAAAAAATGCATTTTTAAATTCATTTTAAAATAATTTATCTTGAAAACGACTAAGTCCAGCTCAATAAAATTTGAACAGTTCAGGTGTTGAACATCATAAGTTTACTTGTTTCCAGTTGGTGAAGTTTTTCCAAAAGTTGCGTTGAAGCTGCTCAGTCTTTTGTGATCCAACACACAGACACACACACACACACAACACACAGACACACACACACAGAGCAGCACAAACCATCGTCTAAACTTGGTTACTGTAATAAACATCCACCTAAAGCCTTAACGTGTGTTTTTTTGTCTGTTTGATTTTATGAAATTTTATGAGCTTAAGGGACAAAAGGTGGAAATGAACTCTAGAGCTTCAGCCTGAGGCAAACATCTGTCCTGCTCACAACACTTCAGGTCTCAGTGTGAAAGAAAATCTACACAAATCTGGACGGAGCAGCGTCTGAGGAGCAAAAGGATCAACCTCTTTAAACAGAAATCACATTTTCTGCCACAGCTTGTTTCATTTTACAGACACGCTGAAAATCAAAGTGGAATAATGATGTGGCTCGGACATTTTGACTAAATTTAATTTCTGGAACTCCAAATGCTTTTCAGTCTCTCGTGCTGCTTCTCATGATCATGTTCATGTTTGACTCGTGACACACCTCATGAGGCGGTGAATGTTCTTCTTGTGAGATGTTCTCAGGTCTGTGTGTGGGCATCACTGAGCTCCTGTAGAGTCTGAGGAGGAACCTGGAGCGTCTGATGGACCCAAACATCACGTCCCAGAGGTTCTCTTGGGTTTAAGTCAGGTGATGGTGAGGGACGTTCAGTCGTATCGATCCTTCATCCTCCAGGTTCTGCCGCAGACTCTTCCACATGAGGTCGGGCACTGGAGGCATGATGGAGGATCTGACGGTGGGTTCAAAAGTTTCATCCTGATACCTGGTGGCGTCAGATGACCGTTTTCTCACTAGTAGAGAGAAAACGCTCTCTACCATCTCTCGATCCACCACCAAACCTCCCGTGAACCCTGGAGCAGCAGAGCGACCTCCTCGTCTTCTCCAGACTCTTTCACGTCTGTCAGAGGAGCTCAGGGTGAACCTGCTCTCGTCCATGAAAAGCTCAGGGCTCCAGTCGAGGACTTGCCAACTCTGGTGTTGTCTCCAAACGCCGATGGAGCTCCACGATGTTTTCTACAGGACGTGGAGCCCTCGAGCCGCCTTCATGAAGTCTGTTTGTGATGGTTTTGTCCTGCCGAAGGTCATTCTGGAGGTGATCATCACTGTAGCCAAAGAAGCACGAGGGGAAAACCACCAAAAAACACAGAGACAAAAACTAGAAATGATCTCCATGTGTAAAACCAGTGCTGTTTTAAAGGTGCTCTCACTCTAGTGCCCCCTGCTGGTCATTTCCATTAAAAGAGGACGATCCTTTTGTGTCTCAGATTTTTTCCTGTCCAGATTTTGTTTCTTTTTGAGATCTGATTGGTTTTCAAAGTGTTTCTTAAATTTTTTGGAGCAGTGTTCACTGAGTTCTGTCTCCGTCTCATTAAAGAAATAAACTAAACTTAAATTAAATGTTTGTTTCAGGCACAAACGCAGCATGGGCCTGACCCTCGCTGAAGACGAGCTCTCCAAACTGGACCAGGACCAGACCCGAGACCAAACCACGGACCAGAGCAGAGACCAGACCGTGGACCAGACCCCGGAGCAGAGCAGAGAGCAGCAGGTCCTGGAGAGGGAGTGTGTCTGCGCCGAGGGAATCCTCTCCAAGATCGATGATGTTTTGTGAGCCGCTTTTCTGTTTGAACTGGAAAATGAAAGAAGCTGCATTCACGTTCTCATGAAAAAAGGAGTAAATTCATGTTTTAACTTTGTCTTCTGGTCGATTTTCTGTGTTTGTGTTCCAGGATGGCGTCTCAGGCGTCAGAGGAGGACAAGTGGTGAGATCTTTGAATAATGTGAGATAAATCAAGTGACCGGGGACGACCTGAAGTCCTCACGGTTCTTCTGTTCCTCCAGTTCCACCACACAGTACGTGATCCAGACCTACATGAAGCACCTGGGGGTCAAAGTGAAGGAGACGCGAGGACTCGAGCCGAAGAGGGCAAGGATCAACTTCCTCCCAAAGATCCCCGCAAAGAAGGTACAGCGCTCCACCAGGAGGGAGGGGGTACTGCGCACAAACGCTACAGCGCCAAGGAAAATCAGATACTAAACATACTGAAGCTCCTGTCGAAACTAGAGGCTCCTGCCAGGTTCCAAACATGTTCACTACAAAAAATCTTGGCCAAAATGTAAGACATAAACACTTAAATCTGTCAGAAAATGACTTAAAAGTAGAGAAATCGAGCGAGATCATTTTACTGAACAGATTCTCTTAAAATAAACGACCTCTAGGCGAGAATGAAGCATCTCTGAACGAGTAGAGCGTGGCCAGGCCAACTCGTACAAAGCCAAATTTTGGACACTTAGAGGATTTAAACATGTTTAAATATTTTTAAAAGTTCAGAAGAATCCTACAAAATCTGCTCGTTGTGAAATCCGTGGATTCACAAAAATTTGTTTCGCAATTTTACAGATTGAATTCAGAGAAATATTTGGTCAGACACACTTCTCTATTCATTCTGTTTGACGTCGGTAGTGGGTAAATCCGGGAAAATATGGATGCCCAAGAAAGTTTAATCTCCAGCTGACTCGGTCTGCTCTGAACTCGCCTGAGTTTGTGTTTCAGAACCCCGGTTTGATCGGCCGTTCCATTGCTCTTTCTCGAGGTGGAAGTCGGTTTTCCCTGAGTCCTGAGCACAAGAGAATGTGGCGTTACATTGACTTTCTGTTAAAATGTGCTCCATGGTCAGAGGTCCGAGGTTAAGTACATTAACCCTGACCCTCTGTTAGCTGCAGTACCTGAACTAGTACTTCTACCTACTAGTGGTTGTTGTGGTCTTGTATATGTAGATCCGTGTCCGTGAACGTGGCGAGGAAGGAGCTCTGTCCCATTTCACTCTGTGGGTTTCTCACTGTAAACGACTTTATTGTTTCGTCTCCAGAAAACCGTCAAAGCGGAGAAGGAGGGAGAGGAGAAGGTGAAGAAGCGCTTCCCCATCATCCTGCCGACACCTCGACGCCTCAGCCGGGTGGAGTCTACCTCAGGTCTGACTGTCACGGTGCCGCTTCTCATATGTGATGCCGCTCTGGGGGTGTTCTGCATGTATGTGTATGGTAGAATGTTCAGCAGCTAACGTGGGGACGCACAGAAAACACAGATGAAGTTTTAAGATCTTCTAGCACAGATCCTCTCACCTGTTGGAGTTCAGAAAAAGACTGTGTTAAAACAAAGCTCAGGTTGAAGTCTGACAGCTCTTCAGACGGAGCGGTGCTTTCTGTTAGCGTCCCTTGTGTCTGTGTCCGCAGGGAAGGCCGTGGAGCTGAGCAAGCAGAGGTCCCCAAAGCTCCTCCCTCAGCCGGAGCAGGCGGACCCGTCCAGCCCCGTGACCCCAGCCTCACCCAGCGGGACCCCGCCCTCTCACACCTCTGCACCCGGGCACACACCTGGGCACACACCCTGGAACACACCTGGGAACACACACCCGGACACACACCGGACCCCAGCGGGCATGACTCCGACTGCAGTAAGGACACAAGTACAGACACTTTAGATAAAATGTTGCTTAAAGGCTCGGTTTGTGTAAATCAGTGGTGCTCAATACGTCGATCTCGATCTACAGTCGATCTCCAAGGTCGTGTGGGTAGATCTCCGTGTCTCGTCTCGGACTCGCGTTTGGACTCGGTCTTGTCTCTCACTCGAGGTCTGACACTCAACAAGTGTGATCATATTTGATTCCGGCCGCTGCTGTTGGTAATAAACTTGTAGCGGGTGCAGGAGCGTGTGGGGCGTCTCAGTGCAGCCTGTGCGCTCATTTGAAACCCGCGGAGACTCTACGGCGCATCACAAACACACACGCTCCCTATGCACGGCTCGTCTGCGACAGCGTGTGCCCTCGTGTACCAGCGTGCATCACAGGGCAGGTTCAACTTCCTAAACATCCTACCTGTCCACCTGCCTCACGTCAGCACGCCGCCCCTCGCCTTTTCACGCTCTCGCTCCTTCCTGCGTACAGCCAACACAAGCCCCTCCCACAGTGCGGCTGATTAGAAGAGCAAGACCAAACGTGAAGCAAAAACCAGTCTAAATTTGTGTTCCAGTGTTGGCACAAAGCAGGTCTACAGCATAGAGCGGATCTACAGAACAGACCTACTGCCACATTTGGCTGAAGTTTGTCTAACAAAAGTGACAAATGCATCTGTGTTTGTCACGATGTGCGTTTGGTTTGGTAAACGTGCAGAGGCTGGTAAATATCACTGCAAAACCACAAAAGAATGAAACTCCAGTTTGGAACTTTAAAAAACAGGTTTAAAAATCTTCCTTCACTTTTTTCACAGTTTTGTGTAAAGTGCCAGAGGAAGTTCTCTTAAAGAAGAGGTTCTCAAACTGTGGGGGAGGGTCCAGAAAAGGGGCACAGAGTGTTTCAGTGCAGTTTGTTTGACTTTGTATTAGGTTGATAATTTTGTAAGTAGCTCACATGATGAAAAAGTGTGAACACCTCTGCAGTAGAAGAACAGAAGATAAGATGTTTCTCACCTCACACGTTCGTTCTTTCCTGTTGTAATTACAGATGTTTCCTCTCTGTCCCCGGGCCCCCGACTGTGTGAGGGGCCCCCGTGTGCAGAGACCCCGTCCGGCCCCGGTTCTGGACCCGGTTCACTCTTCGACTTCAGCCCTGCCGGCGTGGAGCTCCAGGACGACGACCAGGACTCACTCAGGTTCAGCCAAACGTTTCAAAGCTTCACTGCTGCAGCGCCGCGTGGATCGTTCTGCTCAAGTTTTGTCTCTGTGGCGTTTGTGCAGTCGCCGCGTGGAGCCTCAGAGCGCAGGTGCCGCCGAGCTCCTGAGCGAGGACGACCAGGGGGCGGCGGTGGAGCTGGAGGAGGGCGCCCCCACCTGGCAGAGCGGCGTCAGCAGAGACGTGCTCTCCACGCTCACGCCGCGAGAGATCGAGAGGCAGGAAGTCATCAACGGTACAAACGCCCCACAGATCCAGTCGAGACAAACCCACAGGGCGAAGCTGAAGCTGTGGACGTTTCCTGCTCAAGTTTTGGTGCTCAGAACTTTTCTAATGTTCATCGTTCTCTGGTCGACGCTTCTTCTGGACGTTCTGTGCATTGGCCGTACCTCAGAAACTTGTTGTCAGTCGCCAAAACTTCAGCAGGAAACGTCCAAAACTGTTTCAGGAGCTCCAGGCTCAGCTGTCCGTCAAACATAAATGAGCCAATGAGAATGCACCATGTAAACCCCGCCCACCTGTCACACCTGTCACACCTGTCACACCTGTCACACCTGTCACACCTGGGCTACAACTGCACCAAAAAGTAAAATGAGAAAGAGAATCAGGCACCAAACCAAACTGAGAAAGACGCAGAACAAAAATAAAAGAGACAAAGATGGAGATTTTACACAATTACACAAATAATTTGATTGTAGTTTTATTTTATTTTACTTTTTTGTTTGTTTTTTTGTTTGATTTCCAACTAGGAAGAAAAAATTTTAAACCTAAAAAATGCCCAAAACAAGTGTGAGCAAAAATCTTAAAATCCTAAAACTGCACTGTGTAACTTTTTGTTGGGGGTCTGTCACCTGCTTGTTTCTATGGATACATCAATGATCTGTCTGGAATGTTCCGCGGTGTGACTTTAAACAGTTCAACTTTACATTTATTCAATTACAGGTGGTTTTAGAGTCAAAAATCACTAGAAAAACAGGACTAAACCAGGACTAAACCAGGACTAAACCAGGACTAAACCAGGACTAAACCAGGTCTAAACCAGGTCTAAACCAGGACTAAACCAGAACTAAACCAGGACTAAATCAGGT